CTTCTTCTATTCTGCCTTTTGTCACCAGCCACCGAGCTGATTCTGGTAGCACCCTGCCAAGGGGAAGAGATGAGGTGGTGCTGCTGGGGCGTACTGCGTGGTGCTGCTGGGACCTACTGAGTTTCCCCACAGACCACCTCCCTGTGACCACATCCAGCAAGCAATGGGCATCACATGGGATGGATGGGTCTAAATACCTCTTTGGGTCAGGTTTTCCAGGCCTACATTTGGGCCCCAAAGGCCACATTTGAGGACCTGAAGCAAAGCAGCTGCTGCTCTCAATGGCCCAATGCCCCAGGGAGATGTGCTGAGCTCTGCAGAAGTCCCTCCAGCACCTGCACTCTAGCAAGGAAGACCCAGCCTGCTCCTGAGCTGCTGCCTCCTCACTGCCATCCCTCACTCTTGCTGCTGTCACGTCTGCCAGGAGCTCTGCCCACATTCCCCTTACCAGATGTAGAAGAAAAAGGCAAACAGTGGAGCAGATCCTGCAATCTCCAGCAGCCTCCAGTTGCGAATACCATAACTCAAGCCAGCCAAAATCATCTGTCCGATGGCGAAACAGCAGTGAGAAATAAGCACTGCCGTTGGCCGGTAGGAGGCACCAACCCATTCTGTAGCTGCAAAGAAGAAAGAAGATTGAGAGTCATCCATGCAGGTGACTTGCCCTGATGCAAACAGGGTGTTTTCCCTGGAGAATAGCTCTCCTGGACGTGCGGCAGTGAGAGCTCTGGCATCAGTCACACATGCAAGTCACCAGTGTTTCACGAGATGCATCACCTCTCCTTATCATCAGGGTGTCCTGGTCCTCTGCAAGAGGACCTGAAGCTCAGAGCCCCTCACTGGGTCAGAGCCTGGGCCCAAACCAATCATGTCCCAGAGCCACTGGGCTCTGTCCCTGCACTGATCTACTGAGCTGGGAGGCTGTCCTCCTCCTCTGAGCACTGGCATGGGAGAGATGCTCCTCGTGGCTCTTACTCAGGGTTGAGGAGATGCCAAAGTGCCAAGGACAGTGCAGAGCAAGCCCTGTCCCCAGTGCAGTGTTTTTCAAGTCGTTTGTGACTTTTATTTCTTTACAGACCTTTCCTATTGCAGACAACTCTCTGCCTCAGGGCAAGGGCATCCTACTCACCTAAGGCCAGTATCGTCATGGTGATCCCTGACACTGAAGCCCCCACGACACATCTGAAGGCCATGTACACATAGAAATGGGGCACAAAGGCAATTCCTACACCAAACAAACACTGGAGGAAGACGGAGATCAGCAAGACTGGCCGACGGCCAATCCTGGGGAGGAAGAGGGAAGACACAGTCAGTATCTGGAGAGACCCAGTGAAGATGGGGAAGAGCCCAGCGGGTTACACAGTGATTGTATTGCCCTCTCTTGAGGGTGATACGGCCCAGACTAAACCCTGGGTTGACATATGAAGCACGCTGTGCACACGCTGTGCCCTTCTGCCTCCCACCCCCTGTGTGTCCACGTCCTCATGGGACCTGAGGACTTTGGTCAGGGTCCCTGCTAGTGAGGAGCGGTGACAAAATGCACGGGGTGCAGTGCCCAGCCAGGCTCGGAGCAGCGTGCCGCTCTGTGCACCGCCGGCTTTGCACAGACCTGGGATGGGCGGTTGTGTCTCCTCACCTGTCACTTAGTGGCCCAAAGATCATGGCTCCTAGAAACAGCCCCATCATGTAGATGGATTGGGAGATGTCATTCAGGTGCTTCCTGTCACACACCAGGTCAAACTGGAGGAAGGAAACAGAGATGCTTTTGATCTTGAAGAGGTTCCAGATGCTTTCTGATCTGACCTTTAAGGATGTGAGTCTCCATGCACATAGCAGATAAGTCAGAGGTGGGACAAGCCCACGGGGCACTCCGTGGTGCCCCTCTCCCGAATACTGGGACCTGCAGGACTTCCCCTCCAGCCTGGGCACTCCCAGGGGAGCCTCCTGGTTGGCAAATTTTCCTTAAAGTGGGATATGGGAAGTCCCAGCAGCTTGCTTCCTCCTAAACTGCCTGCCCTCCCAGAGGAAATAGGATGAGGGCAACACTGATTCCTGAGCCAAGCAGCTTCTGTTAAAGAGATGTTCTGCAACTGCCAGC